AAGACGCAGGACACGGTGAGCAGCACGATCGGACGATGGATGTACTTCATCGACCAATTTGACTTCACACCAAAGCATGTCCCCGGCCTCTCCAATCACGCAGCAGATGCACTCTCGTGAAGACCTGATCTTTGCGCTATGACACATCATGCCTTCACATTCGACGAGGAGCTTCAGCGACACTTCATCCGGGCATATCAGTTTGATCCGGACTTCGGCACGCTCTATGCACAACTATCTTCGGATCACCCGCCGGCCAGCCATTACCGCATTGCCGACGGGTACTTGCTCCTCCACTCGAGAGGCAAGGACTTACTATGTGTCCCACGCGACCGTCGTCTTCGGACTCGCCTCCTCGGCGAGTAGCATGATTCACGACTCGCCGGCCATTTTGGAGTCAACCGCACTATTGCACGACTTCGACAGCGATTCCGACGGCCCGACCTCATTACCGATGTCACTCGGTATTGCGACTCTTGCGAAGTTTGCCGACGCAGCAAGCCCCGCAACCGCAATCCCTACGGCGAGTTACACCCGATGCCTATTCCACGGGAACCCGATTTCTCCATTGCCATGGACGTCACCGGTCCGTTTCCTCGCGACCGGCTCGGGCACGACGGCATCCTCATGGTTGTGGACCGATTGAGTAAGTACGCGCGTTTTCTCCCTTGCAAGTACTACTCCACGGCTCCCGAGCTGGCACGCCTCCTGCACACTGGTTGGATTTGTGGCCACGGTGTACCAGAAGACATTGTCAGCGACCGCGACACTCGTTTCATATCGGCGTTTTGGACTGCTCTCATGCAGGAGTCCGACACAACAATGAAACCAAGTTCGGCTCGACACCCTCAGACAGACGGGCAGATGGAGCGGGCACATCAGACCACTCAAATGATGCTTCDTACGCTCATCCGTCCGGACCAGAAAGATTGGGTTGACCGCCTCCCCGACATCGAGTTCGCCTACAACACTTCGGTTCATCCGGCGATCGGCGTGACTCCATTCGAGTTGCACCACGGTGGACGGAAAGGCCGGATCTTCGCCGACCTTCTCCTCCCTCGACCAGCCGACATTGACGCTGCCTGCTCTCCCTCTTCCATCCGGAAGTACAGGGAATCGCTGACTCAAGCCCGCGCAAATATGCAAAAGGCTCAAGTCCGCATGCAGCAGCAAGCCAACAGGCATCGCGTACCATGTCCCATCCGCGCTGGTGATCTGTTTTGGGTCTCCGCGGAAGAGTTTGCACYGGAACAGGATGTTTCACGCAAACTGCTTCCCAAGTGGTTTGGACCTTGGTCTGTGACAGCAGCCGCGGGCGATGAGCCAGATGGCCCTTCATTTGTGATCAACATTCCAGAGCATCTGACGGTCCATCCGGTCTTCCACGCCTCGAAGCTGGCAACTTACACGCCAGCCAAGAGCGACGACTTTCCGGACCGACGATCGCAGGACCCTCCTTCTATGGATGGCCATCAGGAAGTTGACCGCGTCATCTCCGATCGCAAGTACGGCAACAAGCCACAGCAGTATAAAGTCACATTCAAAGCATGCGATCGCAACGACACTCGGTGGATATCAGGCGCAGATTTGAAAGCGTCCGCACCGCTGATCTACGCGCATTATGAAAAGCGCAGGTTAGCTCAGGAAGCTTCACGACCAGCCCCTCCCACCCGGACTGTGGTCCCTCCCTCAGACAGACAGCTTCGCCCTCGCAGGTAAGCTCGGTTCTTCAAGGAGGGGGGGGGGTGGCATACTGCGTAGCCACACGGGCCCTACAG